AGATTTATTTATCCAGTTTTTTAAAAAGATTTTATTTACTTATTTGAGAGAGAGAGCACAAGCAGGGGGGATAGGGAGAACCAGACTCCCTGCTGAGCAGGGAGCCCGACACACATCTCGATCCCAGGACGCTGGGATCATGACCTGAGCCAAAGGCAGACACTTAACCAACTGAGCCACCCAACTGCCTCAAAAATGATAGTTTTTAAATACAAAAAAAAAAAAAAAATCTACCCACTGACACAGCTCCCAAGCAAGAACAGCCTGAAGACATCACATTGCAATATCTCAGAAATCTCAGTTTACAGGTGAATGAGTGCGCTTTTGGGGGCCCCAAATTAAACCTGAGCCCTCAATGGCCCTGCACCCAGCCGTTAGCATCATCTGCCACAGCTACTCTGCCTCAAACCTTTACCCAACACACCCAACACACCCATCGAACCTTCGGCAAGTGTTCTGAGTCTGTTTTTCATAGAGCTGCAGGGTGTCATGGCTTTCAGACTCCTTGCTGAACAACTAGAGAAAAATTGATCTTTTGCCACATGGAAAAATGCACCCAAAAATGAAGTAATAGGGGAATATCCATGAACCTTAGGGGCTGTCCATCCAAGCAAGCCTAGGATGGGTTTGAGAATGTCCTTATAAAGCCGTATGGTGATTCCTTGGTGGCCGAGCTGTGGGTGGTATGGGGCTGAGACCAGAATCATGGAATCCTGGGTTATAGGAAGGTCGGAACTACTTTGGTCACCAGCCAAATCTACAATTAGTCCTTGGGGGAGATGCACGGGGAAGGGACCCTTGGCTAGAAGAAGGACCCAAACCCAGGAAAGCCAGAAGCCTTCCCCAGAAGGCAGTGCTCAGCTTTTCCTGGGGCCTGCTGGAATTTCATTATCCTGTTCACACTGTACAGATGGGAATTTAATAATTAATTAGGGAATAACTCACCCCAGAGCCCGGACAGGGGGATTATACAAATCAACTGAGATGTGGCAAGGGGCTGAATATTTCATAGTGTGTTTAATTTGCAAATACTGCCCACTGAGAAGGCTTAGGCAGGAAACCTATCGACATAATTATTATTACTCCTGCAAAACGACTTGAATTCCATCAGACCTCCTTCCTTTCGATTGTTTTTGCCAAAGCTTCTTCCAAGAAATGTAATGTTTTTTAAAAGGGGGGGGGAGGAAATGTAAAAGAATATTTATTAGGAATGAAATGAACCTGTTCAGATAAAATAAAAACTAACCCTAGACCTACTACATCTGCTCAGCCTGCAACTCTAACGTGCAAATAGTTCCATCCTGATCATTTCCTCTCCTCCCCTGTGTATTCTGAGAAACAACTGAGTGAGGGAATTGGACACCAAAAGAAAGCAAGGCATTATTTCTCCTGTGTTCCATGTGACTTTATGTATCAATTAAGCCACCCACCGATTCTGAGTACCTCTGATATCCTTCCTATAAATTCTCCTCCCCTTACCTAAGTCAGAGTAATTCTCTACTGTCTCTGCAACAAGAACCCTAACTGCCCTAGCTCACATTGATAATGGAAGCTAGAGAATCACACATCCATGGGCTTCTAGCTACTTCCATCTGTTCTACCACCACTATCATCACAGGTTGAAAACCCAATCATCTAGCACAGGGTCAGCAAACTTTTCCTATAAAAGGATAAATAGTAAATAGTTTAGGCTTTGCAGTCCATATGGTCTCTGTTGGAACTTCTCAACCCTGCTATCTTAGGAGAAAGCAGCCACAGGCAGTATGTAAACAAATGAACATGGCTGTGTTTCAATAAAACTTTATATACAAAAACAGATAACAGGCCAGATTTGGCTGCCATCCAAATTTTCTAGTACTTGAGGTTCTTCTATTGCATTTCTTAAGACTTCATCCAATTTTATTCTTTATATATTCTTTTTTTTTATTTTTTAAATTTATTTATGATAGTCACAGAGAGAGAGAGAGAGAGAGAGAGAGGCAGAGACACAGGCAGAGGGAGAAGCAGGCTCCATGCACCGGGAGCCCGACGTGGGATTCGATCCCGGGTCTCCAGGATCGCGCCCTGGGCCAAAGGCAGGCACCAAACCGCTGCACCACCCAGGGATCCCCAATTTTATTCTTTAAAAAAGAGAGAGGGAGAGAGAGGCTCTGGGAGAGACTGTAGTGGCCTATGTTGTTTCCATGGGGACTGAAGATGCCACCAGGAGGTGAGTTTCCAGAGGGAAATGGCTGGTGTTCAGCCCCACCACTCGAAATCCTGTTCTTTCTGAACAGGTGGTATTATGCTACCCCATTTCTTGCTGGAATTCTTCATATTTCTGTATAAAGCTCTCCTGCTACTATATCCAACGGCCAATATAGTACTAGGTGTGGTGATGCTTCCTTACCTTGGAATTGAAGTATTTCGACTATTTTTTTTTATTTTTTTTTTTATTATTATTTATTTACGATAGTCACAGAGAGAGAGAGCGAGAGAGGCAGAGACACAGGCAGAGGGAGAAGCAGGCTCCATGCACCGGGAGCCTGACGTGGGATTCGATCCCGGGTCTCCAGGATCGCGCCCTGAGCCAAAGGCAGGCGCCAAACCGCTGCGCCACCCAGGGATCCCTTGACTATTTTTTGATTCAAAGGGAAATGGCTGCCAATTAAAGATGCCACTTGGTGTTAGCATGGCCTTGACCTTCCCATCTGCCATGATGGCCTCCTATTATCTGCTGCTGCAAACCAAGTGCTCTGCCTGGAAGCCATTCTGAACAGCATCTCGCTCTTCTGTGTTTCAGAGCTGCTGCTTGAGGTGCTCACCCTGACTACTCTTTCCAGTATGGACAGGACTAGAAGTACAAAAATTTCAACCAGTAGCCCTCAGTGGGCTGAGACCACAGATACTTCTGGTCCTTATCCACACCAGAGGAAATTGATGAGTCAAGTTGTCCTGAAAGGTTGCAGCTTTTCCTTAGCACAGATATTTGGGCAACAAACTGAGCATGACACCACCAGGCATCATCTTCTTAACCAGGACCATCAGTCTAAGAGACTGTTCACTCAAAGTGTCAGGGAGGAGCAAGGCTGTCCTATCCTGGCTCTTGTCAGAACCAGTTCCCTGCGGTCCTCAAGTTCTCTTTGATCCTCAAGGCCAGAGCATCTTGTGTGGACCATGGAGGCTCCCCATATGTGCCATACCATACCGTCTCAGAAGCAGAGAGCCTCAGGATGCTCTGCTCCTGGAATGACACAAAAACCTCTCACCTCAGTCCTCAGAGACCAAGCTCTGAAACCTTTTTGGAGCTCACACTCTTATTGTTCTACTCTTATCATGGAATAAACATTATTTTATAACAAATGTGCATTTACTGTCCAAAAAACCAAACAATGAAGGATTTTCTCTATGACTCTGAGTGTGTGTCTAAGTAGACCAAAGTCTATTCGATTAAACCAGTGGTTCTCGAATTTGGCAATGTCTGGAGACCAGGGTTAGCCTCGTGGGTGAATATGTTGCACAGTCGAATGGGGTACCATAAATAGAAGGGCCCCAGCCCCACACTTGACTTAATGCTCTGCTGTCACTATCTTGAAATTCTCAATAGTTTTTATGCAAGAGGCCCCACATTTCTGTTTTGCACAGGCCCCACAGATTGTGTTGCCAGTCCTGCAGTAGACATAGAAAACATCAAAGATTGTCACACGTGGGGAGGTGCGGCCGGCATCCTAGCGGGTCAAGGCCAGGGATGCCACTCAACATCCTAGAACTCATAGGACAACCCCCACGAAATGGTATTGAAATGTCAGCAATGCCAAGATTGAGAAATCCTGGATGTGACCACGTGAAATCACCGATATTCTGCTATCTTTGACCTACAGGTAAAGTCATTTGATATGGTGCAGCATCATGGAACTATGCTTTACGTCTTTGAAACTCTTATTTTATCAAAACATATACAGACCAGGGAAAAAAAACCTGTTTAAATCTGCCCCCAATTCGTGTCCTTGTGTGTTTATTTTTCCGTTTCCTGGCTTTTGCAGGAAGTAATAAATGCAAGTGGCACAAATATTTAAGATTCTGAAACATTCTCGGTAAAAGTGTATCTCCTGCCTGTCCTGTCTCCAGTCCCTGCTGCCCTTTTCAGTGCAACCCCGTTTATCATTTTTTCACCTGTCCCCACAGACATTCTATAAATGGAGCATTCTGCACATGCAGTTCTGCTCCTCTTTTCCTTAGGATGTCCCTTATCGGTGCACCTAAAATGTTCATCAGTGATCCCCTGTGCCTGGTCCCAGCCTGCTTTGTTTCCCATTTTTCTGGGGCCACATACTTCAGTAACGAGGACCCCAAACATTCCAGAATCTTCTCCAGCCACTCTTCTTCCTGGTACCAGCTTATTAGATTCCCTTACTCCCTCATCTTTTGAAGTCCTGGCTGAATAAAAAAATAACATTCCATCTTCCGTTTCCTAATTTCTCTCCCTCGGTGCTCTTTGTCACAGAATGTATGATTGCTCTATTTAAAGTCTGCCGGGACCCAGCGCCTGTCAACGTTGCTGAACAGAATAAAAAGCTCTTGAGCTTGCTTCAGGCCAAACCTATACATAGACTTGACCCTCCTTTCTGTTCCAAGAAGAGCAGGAAAGAGCCGGATGTTGGAAGCTCTAACTTACCTCGTATTGATTTTGACACGCAGAGTAAAGGGGGGGCCTCCTCTCCCTCCGCGTGACAGCATGAGTGTATGTGACCACACGTTTGCTCATAAATTATTAATACCACCTTTGAATCAAAAAGGAAAAAGACAAGCAAAAGCAACCAGAAAAGCAGAAGCAGGCAGAGAACACCAGTTCAAGAGAACTATGAATTATTTAGAGGTATTTAACCACTGTGTTGATGCAAGGGCAACATTTCTAGTTGGGAGAAGTGAGAAGCCTGTAGGACAATGGGGCTGCAGCCCCAGCCAGCAGCATGTGGCTGCCGAGAGGACAGCAAGTCCCTGGGAACCTGTCCTACCTTTTCTTCTCAACCTTCCATCTCTCACGGCCACCATACTTTGTCTCCCAGAAGGAAGGCTGCAAACTCTGGTTTCCTCTGGTCCTCCAAGGAGGTGACAATGGGGCGCCCCAGGAATGGTCATCCCGACTGCCTGATGATGGAGGTGGCAGAGAGAAGGCTGGGCCCCACCTATGCTGATGGAGAAGTGTGGTCTTAGAAACCCAAGCAGGTCTGGCGATCACCTCCCCCAGGCACTACTTGTGATCCTGCCCCAGACAGGATCTGGGGCTCTGGGGCTTGAAGGAAGGCCCTCCACCAGCTCTCCTGGCTTACCTTTTCCATCTTCCAGCACTTTTTTGTCCTTCTGGGCACCATTGGGTTTGTCCTAGTCGTGGCCACATTCCTGTCTAAATGAATGTCTTGAGATGGTGATGTTGGGGAGACAGGTGCAAGGTAAGCTAGGGTGAAAGAATGGAAAGTAAGCTTTTGGGATGGCGAAGTAGTCTCAATGTTAAGTTCCCAGATTCGTTGCCCTAGAAAACGAATTTGGGGAGGGGGTTGGTAATAAAATACATATAACATACAATTTACCATTTTTACCTAATTTATCAACTTTAGCCATTTCAAAGCATACAGTCCAGTGGCATTAAGTGTGTTCACACTGTTGTGCAAACTTCACCACCATCTGTCTCCAGAACTTTCTCATCCTCCCAAACTGCTCCCCCACTCTCCCTTCCCCCACCCCCTGGCATCTGGCACCCTTTCTCCCTCTGTTGCATTTGGCTACTCCAGGTACCTCATGCACATGGAATCATACAGTATTTGTCCTTTTGCGACTGGTTGATTTCACTTAGCATAGTGGCCATCTATGGGTCCATCTATGCTGGGTCAGGATCTCATTTTTGGAACACTCCGCTCAACATCTAATCTTCTAACCATGAGGAACATAGACTCTGGAGTTCCTAGAAAGGGGGACTTTGTCTAACCAAACCTGCAGTATGTCTCCCAGCTTGTATAATACTTATTTCGTTATTGCTTCATGAGATTCTACAGGGCATTTTTAGGGAACCATCCTGTAGGGGTCTGTGATATTTTACAAATCATGCCCAGTGCCCTTCAGAATGCTACATACGTATATTATTACTGCCTAGATGAATCGATGAGTGGATGCGTGCTCCTCATATGTCTAGAGCTGACCTGTTTGAGTGCTGCAATAGTCACGGTCCTCCAGAGAAATGAAACCGGATATATACACGCAGAGATTTATTTTAAGAAATTGGCTCACATGATTGTGAGGGCTAGCAAAAAATTTTGCCAGGCAGGCCAACAGGCTGGAAACTCAAGCAGGGTTTCTCTGTTTCAGTATTGAGGCAAAGCTTCTTATCCCTAAACCATCTTTCCTCTCGATGAAAGGAAAGGAGGTCGGATGAGGTCCACTCACATCGCGGAAGACACATTCTTTAAAGTCAACTGAATCCAGATGTTAAGCATATCTAAAAAATACCTTCACAACAACATCTAGACTAGTGTTCGGCCAAACTGGACACCATAACCTAGCCAAGTGGACCCACAAAATTAGCTATCATAAACATATACCTCCCAAATCAAGAAATTTGTAAAAATGCAAGTTACTATGGATACTCCTTAAAGGGAGGGAAATAAAGATATTAAAGACTGACAACTATTAAAAATAAGATTACTATGAACTTGTAGTCACAAAGTCTGGAGTTGGGATGTTGTTGCTATTTATATCGTGCTCACTTACAGAAAATATTTGAAGAATCAGAGTCAAGAGCAAAAATCCAGAAATTGTCAAGAGAACTAAAATTGAGCTTCACCGAATATTCACTCTAGTGAGTAATAAAATCACATATTATTTTATGTTTACTAACCCACAGGATTTGGGGAGCTAGGAAGATTTGATTTGGAAACCACTCTTTCATATCAACAAAATCCAGGACTAGAGAGAGAAATTTACTGAAGATCATACCGTGTGAAGCCATGGGCCTCAGCTGCTCTGCAACCAATCCACACAGTCAAGGCCCCCCCAACCTTTACTGAGCACCTACTGCATGCCAGGTTTTCTGCCAAATACCTTGCTAGGTACTGGCAACATGTGCCAGGCTTTTTAAAATCACTACTGTAGCAATGCTACTTTCAGGAATGTAACTATTACCCCTGGTTTCCAGAAGAAAATTGTAAGCTGTAGAACATAGGGGATTTGCCTGAGGTCACAAAGCTATCAGGCCAGCTGTTGGAATTTGAACCCAGGCAGCAAGGGCCTGAGTGTATGTTCTTGTCCATCATATGATACTGTTTGTAGTAGGGAAAATAAAAGCACATACAAAGGCTTTTAGGTTTTACTTTATTAATGTGTTAGGAGGGACACTATGAGACAGGAGTCTTATAACATGCCTGGCAGTTATGCAGCTAAGACACGTGAGCAGAGAAGTTGGGCGTGGGTAAATTCAGATTTTGTGAGACCCTGACACTAATGTAATCTGGGAAGTGCCCTTTAAAATACAAAGTTAGGAACACAAATATAGGTGCCAAAATGAATATTCACTTAGCACAAGAAAACACCACACCGTAAATTTCTAAAAGTTGATCAAATACTACAAACATTACACTATCCAAAAAGAAAGAAAGAAAGAAAGAAAGAGAGAGAGAGAGAGAGAGAGAGAGAAAGAAAGAAAGAAAGAAAGAAAGAAAGAAAAGAAAGAAAGAAAGAAAGAAAGAAAGGAAGGAAGGAAGAGAAAGAATTACTTCTTTCGTAATTTTTCGGATCCACTTCTACAATACCTTTATCCCTATATATTTGTCCTGCCCACTCTTTGGCTGCCTCATCCTATGACAATGCAATTATTTTATTTTATCTTTTTACAGAGAAAATGGATAATGTAGCCCTTCTTCTGACATGGATGATCGAAATTTTATTTTTATTCTTAACAGTTTAGAAAAATTCTTTGCACTTCCCGCTAATTTCTGGTGTGGTCATGTAGATTTCAGAATTTTTGTCAAAACTGAGAAAACCTCTGAAAGTTTATATATGAGCTGTGAGATTTCAGGATATTTCAAGTATTCTTAGGCAGTGACTAATCTTGCAGTCCTCAAATTCTCTGAATTGATGAAACTTATTAACCAGTTTGCTGTTGATTCCCTCATTATAATGTGTTGTAAGTTTAAATTACATTGTTGATGTCAGTATTTTGAGGCAAATCAGCAAGAAACTTAAATCTTTTCCCAGTGTGTTCAAATGATTAACTCCTCTTATTAACTGGATTATAAAAAAAATCTGAGGATTTAGTCATCACTTCCATTAAAAACAGAATACTTCTCTTAATGAATTTCTGCCTTTGACATATCTTTTTTAAAGTTTTACAATTTTTTAATGTCAGGATGATTTCTATTGATTTCATTTTTTTAATCATATTTTGTATATAATCCATTAAGTTTACCTGAATTTGCTCTCAGTTCTTTTTTGGCTTGGTTTTGCATTTTCATTTTTTATTTGTTCATTTGAGTAGAGTTGATACATGATGTTACATTAGTTTCGGGTGTGCAGCATAAGGATCCAGTTTCTCTATACTTTTGTTGCTCCCAGTTCTTTAATAAATTTAAAGATGACACAATACGTTTACTTTCATCCAAATTAGAAGTCTGTGATTTCTCACTTTTATTGAAGTGTTCCAAAGCATCTTTCCAAATTCTAAGAAAAATGCATATTGAAGGTTTGTCAATGTTTTGAGAAAGCTTTGTGCCCTTCGTTTATGTTCAATCTCCTTTTCCAAGTCTTCAAAAATATATTTTTAGGGCTCTTGACACATCCTATACTGCAGAGCTCGAACAGCTTCATCGTGGGCAGACGTTCTCATGACACTTAAACTCCTGAAAGAGAAACCCAAACTTGGCCAATCCAAAAAGAAGACATGTAACAGAGACATCTGGGGTGGCTCAATGGTTGAGTGTCTGCCTTTGGGTCAGGTCATAATCCCAGGGTCCTGGGATCGAGTCCCGTATCGGGTTTCCCTCAGGGAGCCTGTTTCTCCCTCTATGTCTCTCTTTCTCTGTGTCTCTTACGAATAAATAAATAACTTCTTAAAAAAAAGAGGAAGAAGAAGAAGACATGTAACAGATTCAACAAAGGAAGTAGTCAACAACTTTAGGCATGTCAAGGGCAGCAGGGAACATGGACAAGAAATGACCAAGACTCCTGATTGCAGTGAAAAAAAAATTTATTTCTTGCAAATTTACAAAAACCTATGACTATGTGAACATGTTGGTCTCCCCCCGGTCCTTAAAAGGACCCTGAAACAGAATCTGCAAGGTGGAGAGGAGGTATCCCAACAAGGATGGGATGAGGCAAGAAAGGGTTCAAAGGACTGTGGACAGATCGAGGACACTGACAAAGCTTGCTCTGTGGGTGATGAGATGCTCAAGAGGGCTTGGTGTTTTTCTCAAATGTATGGCAGAAGGGAGAATGGGAGGTGAGTATTTAATGGGCACAGAGTATGAGTTAGGGAAGATGAAAAAACTCTGGAGATTTACAGTGGTGATGGTTACACAACAACATGAAGGTACTCAATGCCCCAGGACTGAACACTTATGAACTGCTACAGTGATAAGTTTCATGTTATGTATATTTCACCACACCAAAATAAATTTTAATATCAGTACATTTTCAAATTTTAACAAGTTTTTAATTGAGATCATTATGGATTCACAGTTATAAGAAATAATATGGAAAATGTTCTGGGGCACCTGGCTGGCTTCAATCAGTAGAGCATACAACTCTTGATCTCTGTTGTGAGTTCGAGCCCCACATTAGGTGTAGAGATTACTTAAAAATTAAAAAAAAAAATCTTATACTTTACCAAGTTTCTCCCCCGGTAATTTTTTGCAAGACTCTAGTACAATATCATAGTCAGAATATTAACACTAATAAAATCAACGTACTTGGATTTCCCAGTTTTACTTGTGTGTGGGTGTGTGTATGTGTTCGTCTATGCAATCTTAGCACCTATGTAGGTTCTGGTATCCACCACCACAGTCAAGCTATGCAACAATCCCAATGCTACAGGGACCCTTCATGCTGCCCTTTTGTGATCATGCCCACACCCCTCCAACTCTGCTCTCCATCCCAAACCCCAGTCCTCCATTTATAAAATGTTATCATTTCAAGAATGGTATGTAAATGGAATCGTACCTTCATCTCATTCATACACAGCTTCTTGGCTTGGCCTTTTACACTCAGCTAAATTTCCTGGAGATGCATCCAATCTGGTAAACGTATAAGTGGTTGGCTCCTTACTATTCCTGGGTGGTGCTCCATGGCACAGATGTGTCCCAGTTTTTTTAACCACCTTTTGAAGGACACCTGGGCTATGGAAGGACAATTTGGGGCTATTACAAATAAAGCTGTTCTCGACATTTGTTTATAGGTTTCTGGGTGAACGTGAGTTTTTATTCTTCTAGGGTAAATGCTCAGAAGTGCATTTGCTGGGCTTTCTGGTAAGTGCACGTTTGTTTGTTTGTTTATTAAAGATTCTATTTATTTATTTGAGAGAGAGAGAGAGAGCATAAGCAGAGGGGAGGGGGCCGAAGGAGGGGGAGAAGCAGGCTCCCCACTGAGCCAGGAGCCCGATGCAGGGCTTGATCCCAGGATTCTGGGATCATGACCTGAGCTGAAGGCAGACATTTAACTCACTGAGCCACCCTGCCCCCCACCCCCGGCATGTTTGGTTTGTTAAGAGACTACCCAAATATTTCCCAGAGGGTTTTCCAGAGTGTGTTTTTCAGAGCTGGTCCATTCTACATTCCCCAACGCGATGTATGAGCGATCCAGCTTGGCTGCATTCTCACCAGCATTTGGTGATGTCACTATTTTTATGTTACCCATCCTGATAGGTGTGTAGTGGTGTCTTGTGATTCCGATGTGCATTTCCCAAATGACCACGGAGGTTGACCATCTTTTCATGGGGTAGGGTGTTAAGCACAGGAGTAGGGTGGCAAATGGGCACTTCCGAAAGGTTGCTCTTGGAAGGGATTCCAATAGTCCCTGATAACAGCCACTGGGAGCCTGAGCCAGTACATGACAGCCAAAGGACAGAGAAAGGTGGGCATGGGGGATTCCAAAAAGGCTTTCAGAAGTAAAATGGGCCAAACGTAGTGACCAGGACAGGGGGAGGTGACTTCCTGCTGAGGAAGAGGAAGAAATCCAGAATAGAATTTGGTCTGGGAATGTTGAGTTTTGCCTCTAAAATATCCATGTAGCTCAGAGCATTTGGATGTAAGTGTTCAAAATCAGGACTGAATCTGGGCTGAAGACAAGGATTTGTAAGCTCCTTGATTTCCATCACTGAACCCAGCAGGGGAGGGGCCTGATGTCTTTGAATTTCGAGTCTACTGGTTGCCCTGGTAGGCAGGCGGTGGGCCCCGGGCATCTGGGGACAGAGGCAGAGGACCTACACACACACACACCATTCCCCAGAGCACATGACACACCTCACACACCTAAGTGCTATTTTTCAGTTATATGTAGATTGGGTTATACTTTCACAAATCATTTTAAGAATTTAATTTTAGATTTTTTCATTATGACTATTTTTTGGATAATAAAAGCACTCAAACTATAAAAGTGTGCAGAATGTTTAATCAGCTGAAGTGGCCGTGACTTCGGGATAGTTCGTCTTCCCAGACACCGGGGGTCTCCACGGCTCTGAAGCACCAGCTCCCAGGTCCCCTGGATATTCTTTCACTGAAGGCAATCTTCCACCTGCTTTCCTGGAAGACTCCCTGCCCTTCACCTGCCCCCCAGGCTTTCCTGTTCCTCTGCAGGGAACAGGTGGCTGCAGACCTTCCTGTTGGACTTGAGAATCTCCCTCCCCAGTCTACCCCTTGCAGAACCCCGCCTGCCCCAAGGCTGACCCCTCTGAGTTGTGCCTGGACCCCTCTCTGCGAGGCATGCACTGCCAGCCCCAGCCCTCTGGGAAAGATGCTGCCAGCCACGCATCCCAGGAGCTTTCTGCACTGCTGTGAGGTCTCCTTTGTTACCTTTACAAAGACTGTAAATTACCTTCTGATCTCCAAAAGTACACCTGCCCCACACACCTACCTTCACCCCCAGCTCTGTAGTATGAAAACCAGCAAAGCCACCAAGACGGGCAGAAAAGCAAACCATGGGGTCTCCATAGGACTCAGCGCCACGGAGCACCAGGCGGTGCCTATCGACGTATAACACAGAAAACGGGGAAGTTGGCTGAAACACAGTGACTGTGGATTCCAGCCTTGCCTCCCATATCTCTAAGATTAAATATAATTCCAAAGAAATTGAGGTTATCTTTGAGAGGGAAGGAGGGAAGGAAGGAGGGAGGGAGGGAGGGAGGGAAGAAAAAATGGGCTTGACCTGTTCTATTACTGAATTGCAATCACTGATCCTTTGTGACACAGAAGCCATAGGTCACATCCAAGATCTTACTGCAGACCCAAGGGGATTGTTCTCCCAGGAATATGAGACTGGCCTCTTATCTCGTAAGAACACCCCTAACGTCTCCGCGCTGAGAATTAGCAAGGATGATGACACGGAGAGCGACAAGGGGACCCCTGTCTGCCATTGTTCTGCATCCATTTAACTGGTTCTGTATGTTTTCCAGCTGACTCCGACAGCTCTGTCATGCTTTTCCAACGACGGGAAAAATCGGGAAGATTCGATTTACTTATATTTATTTTTTTGCCTTATTTTCAGCATTTTCTAAAATTAAAAATCCAATGTCCAGACCCCGGTTATTTAAAAACAGGCCAGTTAACTTCCGCTGCCTAAAATTTCCCTGGAGGCCCTGAGATTCCTAAAATGAAGCCATCTGAGGAAGCTGGGAGGTAGGGAAGGAAAGAAAGAGAGACAGTCATTGAGGAGATTCTGCTCTTACTTTGCCTACTTGGTTTTCCTTCCGGAATCTTCTCAGGCCTGGGATCAGAGAACCTCACACCACCATCCCCCACACCCCGTGCTACCTCCCATAGCTGTGTCAGCCCAGGAGCCAAGAGGAGGCCCACCAGAAGTGGGGAGCACTGCTGCCTCCTCAGAGTGATGCCACAGGAGGCCTCATTCCCACTGTGGGTGAGGAAAAGACCTTCTTGGCAACTGAAATGAGTTGATGTCATCCTTTTGGGGCTCACTGCAAAAAGTCCCCTGGGCTCCCCATTAAAACAGACCACATAGGCACGATTACATGGAGAGCCTATCCATGAAATCAGTAGATCCAATGATTTAATTTGGAAGCTCACAGATCTTTTGAGAAAAAAAAAGAAAAGAAAAGAAAAAGAAAAATACACATTCACTAGCTCTTCATTGTGCCAAGAAAGGATATTTTTGAAACAACTACTTTCTACTAGCACATTTTTAAAGAAAGAGTGCTTTAACTCAGGCACATACGTGCATGCACACACACGGAGAAAGAGAAACCCTCCAGAGTAAAGCACAGCCCGTGAGTTGACAATGAACCTCAAGCTTTCTGAAAAGTCAACCACTGTTCCAGAAGCCTTGGTTTGGGGTAGAAGCTTCGGGTCTCCCCTCCCTTGGCTGTGTGTGGGGACCTAGCCTATCTCTCCATCATCTCTCAGCGAAGATTAGACAGTTTGAGGGTCCCAATGTTTTCTTGTGAACTTCTCTGGGAAATGTCCATGAGAAGGAATCAACTCCTCTGAAAGCCGTCCCCTCCCTGGAGAAAAAGCAGACAAATGAAAGACTGATGACCAAAATGTGGCCATTACTCATCGGTTGTTGGGCACCGCTTCAGTGTGGGTTTCCCAGACCGGTGTACGCCTGAAGCTTTAACTTCCAAGGGGACAGAGGCCTGGCCTTAGCACTGTGGTGTGGCTGGCTCGGGTGT